CATAGTGTAAAAAGATTTCTTTAAAAAAACATGCCCCATAAGCCCCAGTGGCAGTCACACTGTTGTCTCGCTGAACTGCAAGCTATTTTAAGCACCTGTTACTGGAAAGAGCCCAGAACCAGCTGTCTTTCTATCAATCACTTATTTTGAAGCTAAAAGGAAGCCCCACCAACATCTAATAACCAACTGTCATTCATTCACACCACAGACCTCCTTGCAAGCTCCTTCTGACCCATCTAGGACTGTACAATACTTTTGGGGTTTTTTTTTTTTGGTGGGGGGGGGGGACGCTAAATCAAACTTAAACTTTTTGTGAATTTCCTGTTAAATGTATATGGGTTAAGTATTTACACTACTTTCCAGCATCAAAGAATATAAAGAGGAATTATGAGACTCATGTTTTTCACTGTCTTAAAAGTTGGTGAGATTCTCCAGCGGCAGAACGGTGATGGTTTCTGCAATGTAAGGAATTTTCAATAAAATGTGTGATTAAATGTAAATGCAATACAAAAATAAGCAGGGGTTCTGTGAGGTTATTAAGGCGTACTCACCTCATGACTCAGGCAGAATGGAACATTAAGACAGGTGTGGAAAGCAGGATCTCCTGACCAATGCCAAGCCTTAATCATGTTAATGATCAAATTACAGCAAGAAAATATTGACACGCTTCTGGGCATGCCTTTCTAGGGGTTTCTAGTTATGCCACGAGGCCAGGGCATGTGAAATCTGACACTTGTACCTCAGAAAGAAGAGCTACCCTTCTCGAAAGATCCTTCTCGACTGCAATGTCATTCAATTCTGCACCTTTCTATTACGTGTCTACTAATCCATTTGCTCATTCTCTCACTCAGAGACTGCTGCATGCACAGACTGCTAAAGACCTCAGCTGTTTCTTGCTTAAACCCAGCAGCTGGGATTCTTTGGCAGAAACAGGCACAGACATAAACTGATCAGTTCAGAGCTTAGGGTCCAAAAACTAATGTGAGTATGAGTGGTGAGGGTGTATGTGTGTGTCTTGGTTAAGTGCTCTCATTAGAGGAGTTCTGTGGAAATTCAAGTTATTTGTCACATTCTTAGGTGGAATATTAGGAATAGTTATTAAAGCTTTTCCTAACTCCAATGTTCCAAAATGATCTCAACCCACATTGTAAAACTTTCCACTGACTTCCCTGTTCTTTGTCTCTAGAGACAAAAAGAATTTATTGCTACAACAAAAGCCAGATCCCTACAAGCAGTCAACCTTTATTACTTTAGAACTAGTGGTTAAATATCCTTACAATATGAGCAAGCTGCTTAACCTGGTTAGGGCTGTACCAACTCTGTATCAAGCCAGAGTTAGCTGACCCCGCAAGGGTACAAGGAATAACAGTGCCAGTCTATTGCAGGGTATCAGTGAATGAAGCAGTTTAGACCAGACAATCAGACTGACACAGCATGTCTTTAGGAGGTAGATGAAAGCCAAAACACCTGGAAAGAGCCCATGTGAACAGAGGGACAACATGTATATGCCTTACAAGCACAAGCCCAAGGTCATTATTGAACCCAGGACCCTCCATGCCACCTTACAGTCTTGGGTTTAGGCATGCACATGACATTATCCTTCCAGCTTGCTTCAATATGTGACAAAGCCAAACATTGGCTAAAGAAATCACATATCAAACCCCATCCTTTTAACTATACAGGCCAAATTAAATCATTTACACATGCACTTCTATACATGCATCTAAACATGTCCCTAATTGATGTCTTGGTACTGTTAGGAATTGTCAAAGACAAAAGATACTAAACCAATAATCGTTTTTGGTGTTATTAATAGAAATGCCTCTACAGTTTCACTCTGCAAAAAAAAGTAATGTTCTAATAGGAAAAAGAAAACCAATATTGTCTTTTCAGCTATTTATCACTGACATTTTCAAGGTCTAGTATACATTAGACCTACACCAGAAATGATCACCTAGAATTATAATTTATTTCATAAGCATGTTAATTTATCTAACGATATAACTCAACCTTAACAGAAAAACATATTCACGTTCTTCTGAAGAAACAGAAAACTACAGCCTATTTTTATTAAAGAAAGATTGGGTTACTGAACTAAAGCTTCTTTCCAACAGTGATAGAAATATTATAGTATTAATGCTATTTTCAATAAACTTGTATTCTGGCTCAGGTGAAGACTCTTTAACTGCAAAGTCCTGAAAACCACTATTATGGTCCATTTTATTTCCAACGAAGCACAAGAAGTTTAATCGGTTCAATTTTCATTGAATCTGGATCTAAAACCACATTTTCTTACAGATTTCTTAATCTCTAATGGGCACAGCAGTATAAAATAAAAAAATTAAATCAAAAGTCTAAACCGCAACTGAAAATGTTTTTTTTTAAACACAAAACATTCTACTTAACTTTAGTTTAATACCATTAAGAAAAGGAAAAAGGAAATCTATAGTTTCTTTTTTATACTGAAATTTTCCACTGGTACTTCAATGTTGTAGCATAGTCACACACTTTACAGCTGACCTAACACAGCTGCAAAGTTTTGTTATAGGAAAACCAAAGCTTATAGTTTAACTAAAGCTTTTAGCTTTTAGGTCATGGGCTTCAAAACAGCATGATATCCATTAAGCAAAGGCACTCAAATGATATTATATGTTTCGTACAGTACAAATATATTGCAGACTATAATCGATTGCAGAGCACATAAAAAACTGTACTACATCCACCTATCCATTTTTAATAACTACTTTGTCCAGTACAGCATCACAGTGAGCCAAAGCCTAACCCAGGGTGAATAGCAGGATCAGCTTTGGAAAGGACGCAAGTTCACCACAGGGAACACACATGCATTTAACTTAGAGAGGCCACACAACCTAGACGGCATGTCTGTGAACTGTGGAAGGAAATTTGAGCTCCTGGAGAAAGTCCATGTGGCTAGAACATGCAAACTCCCTGTGGAAGGTGCTGCAGACTAGAATCAAACTTTGCACCCAAGACTTGTGAGGCAGTTAGCAGTGTTGCTTAACCACCAAGTTGCTACAGTACATAGGTTCATTTTGCTTTAAAGTGCAGCTTTAATTGTTGAAAGGTTCTGCCTGCCTTTTCTTCTCCACTGATGATCATTTAGTATGTGCAATAAAAAAATTGATGTTATTTAATTACTTAACAGGTTTAACATTAAGTGCACGTGCACAATGAAAGACTTTACGATAAATTGTGCCGAACGAAAAATACAACTTTGACCTAAGAGATTCCTGTTTTGGTTTCAGTTCAAATTCCACAAAACCAACATTTCTACGGACAAGTGTCATTAAAGACCAGCTTAAACGTTAACAGAAAGCCACCTTAACTCGGATACCTTGGGAAGGAAAGTAATTAACTGTCTCTTCAACACCTGATTTAATTATATATTTCTGAACTACATATTCTTTTTGTTTCTCTTTATTCCCACGTACTGTATGAAGGGTTTTTTCTACAGCATGTAATGTAGCAGATGATATACAGAAAATGTCAGAAGTCAGCAATATATCCAAGCTGGAATAAGAAAATTTGAATTTTCTTATTGAATTGTATTCTTTCGTGATCTCAGTAAAAATCACAAAAAAATGACTAAAACTGTCAAAAGGGGATCCGAACAAGACTGGAAACAAAGAACATCTTTATTGGGCGCAAAGGCTACAGTTATTTTTCACAGGAGATGCCGGGGACTATTCTACGAATATTTATACTTAGTCCATTAACAAATTGTTAGAAAATTTAATTCAAATAAAAAGCTAGCAAAAGACAAATAACTGTTGGTTGAAAAAAACGAGTACCTAAGCATGCTCCTAAGACGAAAGGAACCGTTCTGCTAATGAAAGGAAACATGTTAATAGTTTACCTTTTATATTACTTTTCCTATACTTTGTGCAAAACAATGGTACGTTGTCCATAATTAATAAAATAAACCATTCAAATTGAGGGTGTGCTAATACGTAAAAAGGCCACAAAAACACACTTACAAAAAATGAAAACCTTTATCTTACAGTAAATGCCAATTAAATGCTGGAATTTAATACCTCAATACTATATAAAGCAACAACAACATAAATAACAACATATTTTTTCTGCATTTTCTAAAGTACCCGCCGTCTAAAATAGTCATAATTTTACTTTTGTGTCGTAGCATAATTGGAGTCATGTTGAGCATTTTTTATGTTTCTGAAAAGTTTTAAAATCCTCAGTCGCAAATCTTCCACAATTTCTCACAGGTATTCGTCACAGACGAATGTGTTAACTTTTAGCAAATTAAGTATATCCCCCCAAAAATAATAAGCTGTAGTAATTAATAAGCTGAAAAAAACTAAAGAATAAATGACAAAATATTTTGGTCACATTTTAATTTTATACACAAACGACACAGTTAGACACTGTTTTATAAACCTAAGGTGTTACCAGAAGATGACATTTTCTTTATGATAATTTATTTATGAAGTTTTCATACACCAGGGCATCCTATTTAATCCATTATACTGTCATATTTCAGTGAATTAAAAAAATGTTCATGTATTTGCATTATATCCACAGTATATAGAAGTTTTGATTTAATGCCACTTTACTAAATACATTAATTGCGTCAAAAGCGAGTGGAATGTTTCAAGGTGGTGCGATGTTAATGCACGTACTGTGTCCAACACTTGCTCAACTTTGTTTTAATGAGCATGTCAATCTTGGCTTATAAAATGCGCTATTACAATTAAATGAGTACGTTATTAAATGAGCCTCCTGATATTGATTTGAACATTTAAACTAAATGTATCTCTTAAAATAAATAGTGGGTGTGTTAAGGACAAACACATTTCCAATAAAGAAATTAAATTGTATTCTATGACTCAAGGACGCCCTCTAACTCTCTTCCAATGAACTTTCCCGCAGGAACAAAAATGTCAACTTTCTTTTGTGTGAACTCTGCAAACCAAAGCAGTTTTACCGAAGCTTCGGAAAAGTGACTACATATCGCTTACCTATAGATACCAGCTTGATGTGTTCTCTGTCTAGGAATTCCAGTGCCACCGAGACATTTTCCAGTTTCATCTGCCTGAAGTTGGGTCTGGAGTGGTATTTTCTGTACATTTTCTTTTGACTTAAAACCTCCAGCAGACCGATAAGTTTCAGCCCATCGCTGAGATCTTTCTGTAGATCGTTGATCCTTTTGTTGACACATTTCAGATGCTCGTTGCACCACCTGGTGAAGGTGTTCTGCTGGATTTTCTTCCAGGGTGCATCCTCCGCCAGGTCCTTTTCCGTGGCGGGCATCTCCTCCTGCTCTTCCCCGTTGTTGGTGCCCTGGTAGTACTGAGGCTGCTGCTCGTAGTAAGTATTATTGCTCATCATGGTTTCGGTCTCCGTGACCCCTTTTTATACCGCAATCAATGAGGCCAGTGTGAAATCTACTGCACGCAGGGGAGAAACAGGAAAAAAAAAAGTTTGGCAGGGCAGTGCCAGGCGCGCGCGCTCTGAAAAGTTCCAAAAACTAGTTTTTTTTTTTCAGAGCTACTTGTTAAAATGGTTGGGCTTGTCAAACCAAGCAGAACTGTCAGCAGAATGATAAATTAAGGAATCCGGTTTTCGTTTGGAAGGCAGGCAGTCCCCCTTTTTAATTGGCAATATTGTGAGAAATGTGTTAGCTAGTTCTTAATAGACACTATAGATTAGAGCAGGAGTATATTAAAAAGAAGAAGAAGAAGAAGAAGAAAGCTGCTCCTGGCGAGGAGTATTAAGAAATCAGCAGAGCTGCGTTAAGAGAAGCTTGTTAACTTGTGTGACTAAATGGAGGAACAGACAGGACAGGGGTTTAAAAAGATCTGAGACCCCTTTACAACGTCAGAGGGAAGGATTCTCCGGAATGTCTCTGCCATGACCATATACAACTAAAGGATGGGTATTTTTCTAATCCTACGGAGATAATAATATGTAACAGGATTGGACACTAAGGATAGCAGGGGCAATGATTGGCTAGCCCCCATGTGCCGCCGCGGTAGTGACAACTAACTTTATTTTTAGCCGCTCCAAATCAGGATTTCGGGGGCTGGCTGGAGTTTTTTGGGTTGTGACAGTGTGTAAGTGAGTGGGTGGTCATCAAAGGTTTATAATTGAGCTAGGAAAGGAAAATGACGGCTAGGTACACTGCGAAACCTACTGCATTTAATGTTACAGGTTGTGTTTGATCATATATCATGTATTTTGCGTAGGGCTTGACGTCTACTTAACTGTGCTCACAAGTCTACATTACAAGGTCGTTTATTATTAGTGTCTCTCTGCGGAGTAAGTCACATAAATTAAGACGAGTAGATACCCAGCAGCTGAGTTGGACTCATATTCTATTCTTGACTACGGGAAGGATAACACAGGAGAGACCACTTCTCAATAGGTTGTCTCGACCTCCCTTTCTTTTTAACATTAGGTATGAGGTCATACCTCGTCTTTAGAGCAGGGTTTCTCCAATTATTAACCTCTGACGTTAGCACAATACATAGGCCCGCAACTATGTGTCGCCTCATAGTGAAAAATTTCTCTTTAATAAACAAAGATGGGATCTGACAACTTTTACTGGTGAATTACTACTGTTGTATGTTCTTTCACTTGATGTCTCGGCAATTTCTAAAGAGAAAGGTCATGAGATTTTTATTGAGCGTGAGTAAGAACCACAAAAAAAATTCTTACTATGAAAGACATAAAACTTTTCTAGCAAGGATGTATAATACATTTCAAATGGTGTACTCCTGATACAGCCTGTGTAATTATTAGAACATTTGAAAGGCATGCCTGTGAAAGCATACAGCATCTTAGTTTAAGTAACGCGAGAGCCTGAATCAAATGGTGGATTTACGAATCGTGTTAGAATATACTTATTTTAATTCGCTCATTACTACAATATTAGCATTTGTTTATTTCGGGTGGGAAAAAATTTATTACAAAACAAGATAACTTTAGATATTGGAATTGAACTTTGAAAATATAACTTAACAAGCTTGAAATCGAATGTGAGTCCTACACATTGTTTACCAGTAACATCTGATTTAACGGATAACACTTGTTCTATAGGTCTATAAACTTGATCTTCACACGAGGAAAAGGATACTCATACAACATGAGGACTTATCGATCCCTTGTGTTCTTAACCACGACCTACTGTATATTTTTTATTCAAACGTTAGACGGGAAATAGAGTATTTCACACTTTTAAAATACTTTACGATTTCTACATTTAACGGTTCTGAACAGTAATAAGGAATTGCCTTTTGATCTATTCTTTTGTGAAAGCCATGCTGTGTGTAACTTAAAATCTGTACGTAAAAATAAAAACAGCGTTGCTGCATTTTGGAAAAAATAACAATCCGTATAAGTTCAAGTAGGGCGTTTGAAGTCGCTGTAAAGGAACAAGTAAAGGTTAATTCCACGCTGAAAAGGAGAAAGAAACAACGTATCAGCTACGATATATTTGTAAATAAAGCCAATCAAATGTTACATTTTGTCTAAATAAATAAAAATGCAAAGCTAAACAGCAACAGACATAGGTTTCCCTTCTAGTTCCTTCTGGACCCCTGTCTGGGACCCTCTGTACAGCAGATGACTGTTGTTAAACCTATTAGAGTAAAAAAAAATAAACAACAAAACCTCCTTAACAGCAAAACAGACAATGGCGTTTGTTCACAGCCTGCCTAAACACTGAATAACCTTTTATCCCAAGTCACTGTACCAATCGCGATGGCAATAATAAGGTTGTATGCTCAACAATATAATGAAACAATATGGTTCTAGAAGGATACTTGCAGGTTTGGTATTAAAGATCATCTTCCGCTACTACTGAATTTTATGGAAATAAAATTAAGTAATTCCAATAAACCGGTATAAATGTATATTGCATGAAATCCTGAGAACATACCCCTTAGAACTCTGTAGGATCCTTGCAGGATTGTTATGAATGGCATACTCTCTGGGGAAATGATTCTTGTGAATGGAGATCCATAAGGATGTGTTTTATCACCAGTGTAGTTTTTGATCCACACAAATTAAATGCAGAGCAATGATGATGTTTTTAACTTGTTTAAATACGCTGACAACATGGCCTTGTTTGACCTTCTGCAGGGAAGTGAAAGGCCAGACCAAACACTCTTCTATGACAAAGTATTAATTCTTATTAACTGGTGCCAGTTTATTTAGGAAATAAACATCTTGAGCACAAACTAATTAGTACTACAATCAGGGAGGTTTGAGCCAGCTACACAGCTGATGCATATAAATGGTCAGCTTGTGGAGATTGCTCTCTGTTTTAAATATCTGAGTACATACAGTATATTGATAATAAGCTAAAGTTCCTAGACAACACAGAGTACGTTTATAAAAAGTCATGAAGAAATTATATCTCTTGAGAAGGCTGAGGCGCTTGTATGTACAAATAGACATCCTAGAGTTGGCCTACACTAGTCTGGCAGAGAGCATGCTCTCTTTTAACATCTCCACTAGGACTGAACCCTGGACAATAATTTTAGTGCCAAGGATAGGGCCAAGATCTCAAGGACTATAAACATGGGCAGCAACATTAACCAAGTGGGTCTAGCCACACCTACTGGATCTCACCAAATCAAACCAAACATTCACAAAGCATATACAGGTAATGCTTGGATGTAGTTGTCCCTAATTAACTGAAACCTACTGATCTTGGTGAGAGTTGTGGCAAGCTATAGGAGTGGGACACCAGTCCATTCCAGATCCACAAAGGAAATAATTGAGGGCATTTTGAAAGAATTCTGAAAGAATGACAGAGCATGAGTAGTCTCAGAAAAAGACTTTACTGCAGTCAATCCAGAATGTCTCTGGAGGCTGCGAGGAATCTGGGGCACCTGGAGGAAATCCACACATACAGAGAGAGAACATGGAAACTCCACAAATAAGGAAGCCTAGGGGCCAGAATCAAATCCAGAAGACTGGAGCTGCAAGGCAGCAGTGCTAACAGCCACACTTACTGTGCATGCTGCCCACTTGGGGATCTCAATCAGTAGTAAATATCAGATATGAAACCAAACCCAGAAAGACTCTGTATCCTGCCTCCCGACCCCATGGCTGAGTGATCTCACCCAGCTATTCACTTTGTCATAGGAACCACAGGATCCTGTTGGGAATGGAAACATATGACCCCTTACAGATGTCATACCCAATTACTGTGATGTGGGTAAACTGCAAACAGGCTACAGTAATAGGAATTTCTCAGACTGCAGCAGATGAGGGCTAGGATCCAAAGGATCCAGGATTCAAACCTTCAAAATTAATGACCTTTAAAAAAATCAGTTTTGTTTAAAATAATCCTGAAACAATTATTCCGGCAATGCTGCATTTCTTATTTCTGGATCATTCCTGATGTGAGGGTTACCTGGATAGATTATTGTGAAAGCCAATAATCAGCTTTTATTTTACAATCCGTATTCGATTTAAGGATTTTGATCAAAATAAGAAATCTAAAACAATTTTATTAAAATATAAAGAAATATAAAGCAATTTTCACACCCAAAGAAGGCTCCACAGCTAAAACGTTGTGTTTTCTTTATTCTCTTTTCAGCATGGAATAAGGTGTTCACCTATTACTTGTTCAATTTTATTTATTGTATTTACTATTAATATCAAAGCATAAAAAGTAAGAAAAAAAGCATAAACTGGCAGTGCTTCAGCTACAGTATCTAGACAGGATTTGGAATACTGCAGAACAATATGGTTGGGTGGGTTCATTATAATGTCAGATTCACTTATTACGGCAAAGTATTTCAGCAGTCATGCACATCTTAGGCCCCTTCATTGGATAGCGTAAGAACACTAGGTTTTGTCTCAGTTTTTCTTGCTTTAAAGAAACTCATCATGCTTTAAAAGCTAACTGAGCATCTGGCACTGCATCTCACTGACACTAATTAATTTGCTATCAAGACATTGCACAGCAAATCTTGATTCCATATCAGTCATTCTAAGAACTAATCCAATGATATTCAGTCAATTTATTTCAAATTTTTATACCTGATTCTGCCTGTATCAGCTAAATAAACATATATAATTGTGATTATTTCACATTGGGATTCATTATAAAATCTGTTATATGATTTAACAGTTATAAATTGGCATAAAATGTAAATGTACTGTAATCTGTATCTCTCATAATTTTAGTTTCTGCCCACTGCCTTGTCTTCAGTCATAAAAAAAAAACGTTTTAGAAAGATCTCTGTCCTTTTCTCTTCCATAACAATATGCTATACTTTTTATACCCTCACTGACATAAAGCTACTGCAGAGATTTAAGTAAGGCATGATGATGTTCGCCATTCATATCCATTCAATTTTTATTTTATCAGCTGTCCTCACTAGTTAAGTGTAACTTGTGTGAGCACACATCCAAATTAGTCAAAATCCAACTTGTATTGATCGTGGCTCATTGAACTCACTTATTTGAGAAACAGACTCCTGTAGAGAATACTTAAAAACTTGTCTAAGAACCTATGACATTTAGCACAACTACTATATATAACAAGCATTTGTTATATGTAAGCAGTAAATGATATACAGAAGTACTGGTGCAAGGAAACTATTGCTCATCATTCCTCATTTATATCCTTGACTTACTATCTTTCTTGGTATCTGTGCAGAGATGACCATATATTCCTTGAAAACATGTCAAAGGCTATACTGAGAAAGTCTTCTGACATCTATAGAGTCTTATCAGCAAATTTCTTTTTTGCTAGGAACACAGGACAGCTAGATCTGTGTTCACCAATGAAACTCAAGAACTTGCACATAAGAAATGTTGAAACACTTTA